GAGGTCATTGTGCCTTCCTGGACAAGTCCCTGCAGGCTGGCAGCTGCCAGGAACCTGGCACAGAGAGCTCTTGTGAACTGCTTGATTCTTTACAGCTCCTGGACAGCAGGGGGGAGGCTGTCACACACAGAAGCCAAGTTACTCACAGGTTCCTTGGTCCCAAAGTATCTTTACCTGCTGATGTCCTTTTCTGTTCTTTCGTCTGCATTTTTTACTTCTACAGGAGTATAACTCAAAGCCTGAACACAAACAAAGAAAAAAGCTGGATGCAACATTGCTATTATTTCTGTTGCTATATTGCAGTTATGAGCAATAAATACATAATGTGGTACTTTAAAAATTGTTCTTTTCAAGGCAGTACTCCATGTTCTAGTTATTGCAGCTGGTTTTGCACTCAGAAGAAATTCAGCAGTTATACTCTGTTAGCTATTCCATCCAAAGCCTCCTCAATCTCAGGGATTAGAGCTAGGATTAGTTTCTTTTCTGTTTCCAGTGAATTACAGGAGGCACATGCACAATATAACACCCCTTTTTGTTCAGAGGAATTATAGCAGGGACAGCCTGCTCAGGCTATTTTTAATTTTCTTATTCTAATTTCAACCTGGGCACTGTTAGGTAATTTTATATGAGTTAACTATAATAATTAATGGAAGAAATTGTTATGTGTTCCCTTAGCAATACAGCAGGGAAAAGGTACTTGTGCTGAATTGAAAAAGAAAAGGGAATAAAAAAAAAAAGAAGAAAAAAGAAGAAAAAAGTTGCTCTTCATTTCCTCCTGCTGGGAAAGCAAAAGCAGGAAACATTTTAACTATGTTGGAGTCACTGAGGTGCCTTCTGAAGGTTTTTAAGTTACCCAGTTTTAAATACACTTACAGCATGTAACAGAGAGGCCAGTTTGTCCTGGAAGAGCTGCACCACCCTCTGGATCGGGCAGATGGCGTCCTCGAACCAGCTCCTCAAGTAGGGGCTCACACAGCTCTCCAAGTTTTTTTGCTGTGACAGGTTGAAACGTTAAAGCTTTAACTACAAATTAGATTTCTACACAAATAGAAGCCTATTAATAATCTACTCAACCTAAGATATTTGGATGTCAGAACCTTCTTAATCCTAAACCACAGAGAACTAAAATAATGAGTTTGACATTTAAAGCCGCACTTTATCAGCAATGAAAGGCTTTGCATTTTAAGGAACAGCCAGAACTGAAATATTATGGTATATATTGAGCAGAGACCATGCAACAGCAGACTGGATGACAAAGAGACTTTAGAGGAAGAGTTTCCACTAGAAAAATGTGACAAGAAAACCACAAAAAATCCTTCCTTAACATTCAGAAGGGGTAAGAATCGAGGTGGACATCGATAATTTCCTTGTAGACCATTATCTTTTATTAGTCATTCTTCTCTCCAAATCTAACTGTAAGTGACCTTTAAGAGATTCATGACTAGCACAAAAAATATCCCCCCCTTCCCTTTTTTTTCCTTTTGACTTGTGTGGTTGAAAGCACTTTAGACAATCATTGTCACTACAGTGAATCAAGTATCTCTCACAGTGTTTTACTGCTACTTAAAACACCTATTTTGGCTCTAGAGACTAAATCTTCCAGATTGTCCTAGCAATTAATTTGGGTAAATACTCATTTTCACCACTTAAAGAAAGAGTTAGGCCTTACCTCCAAATCAAGGTTTATCTTCAGACTTTGAATGTATTTGTCCAGCTCAAGTCTGAAAGTATCTTCTTAAGGAAAATAGGGTGCATCAGTTAAGACCTGCATTTTTCCCTTTCAGTATATGGCTGTCACTGACATTTTCAGTTACTGGAAGGTGTGCAAAAACAAGCTGATTTCAGGTAGAAACAGACAAAATGACAGGATAATTTTTACATCATCTCCCTCTCCACACAGGTAAAGGAAGTCAGAGGTAAGGATATAGTTCCAGACCTTTCTCTGAGCCACCTAAGAAACAGACCACATATTCTGGAGCATTGGCGTCTGATTCCAGTGTCGCCATTTCTAGAAGATTTTCTTGTTGGAAACGACAGTAGTAACAACCAACTTTGCTTTCTGGTATGCTATGAAAAAAAAAAGAAAGTAATTATTTTGTTCCAGATACATCACAATAAATAAGTGCAAAAAGCAGACATACATGATTTCTGAGAGAATTTTCACCCACTAGCACTGGTGGCTCCTATGGTCATATATAAAGCTCTTAGACCTTCTTTTTTCCTCTGTGGTGTGATTAGAGTAGTTTAAAAGGAAATAATCATAAACACATGGACTGTTTTAAATTATTTACTGCAATATTTTTCTCAAAGCTACGTAAAAAAGGAAAGTGCCTTTGTGTAAGGCTGTTATTAACAGCAGCAGTAAACTGAGAACATGGAACCTGGATTAGACCTAAGAGCAGCAGCAGACAGGCAAGATGTGCAGTGCTGCCAATGTTCCCTACAGCTTCTCATCCACAAATAATCTTAAATATTTTACCTGAGCCCCACTGAGGCTACACTGCCCATCCCTTCAAACAGGGCTCCCTTAGTGAGACGCTTGGCGATAAAACCGCGCAATTCTGTCTCCGCTTCAGCTGGTAAGTTCGTGTCCAGCAAGGTGAGGCTTTACAAACAAGAAGAAATTGTTAGCAAAAATCAAATGTTATCGTTTTGTTTCAGCAAGTACAGAACCTGCCTCTAGCAGGGGGACCCCTGTGATCTCTCTCTGGTGACAGCTGACAGCTCTCTGACTTGTGGCCCATCAGGAGCAGTCAGTGATTTGTCCCCAGGAGTCTGGAGTTATGGTGTCAGCTCATGCTGACCTTCCCAGCAGCTCTTTCTTCCTATGTTTCCCTAGTTGTGATACAGAGCTTATGGAAAGATGTCCATTGAAAATTAATAAATTTTTGTTATCTGTTACCTATACAGAGACCTAAGTCAATACAGAAATATGAAGTAGCAAAGAAAAGAGAGTTCAAATTCAGAGATGATAGCTTATGTTTAATACATTATTTGAGCTATGCAGTTGTGTCCATTCCTCAGGTATTCCAGAAGAAGCACCCAGGGGACTCGTCTGCTTTCACAGGGGTTTGTGCTTTGAAGGCGCTGCAATGGACCTAACAATGACCTGACAGCAATTCGGCAGAGACTTCAAAGCGTGTTGCAGGTGATTCTGCAGGTCGGTTTTACCTGAAGTCCTCGGTGGAAGGGGTGTGTGCCCCGGCCCCGCCATCCCCGCCGGCCGCTCCCTGCGCGGACCTGAAAGGCAAGGGATTCCCAGGATTGATTTTTACACCCGTGACACGGAACAGGGACCGCGATAGGGAAAGGTACGGCCCGAGGGCGAGTCAAAGCAGCAGCACGGAATCGGTGCATTATGGGAGGGAAAGAATCTCATCCGGGAGAGAGAAGAGGGAAAAAATACAGGGGATTCAGGGAGCTGGGAACAGCCGAGGCCTGGGGCGGCCTCCCCGCGGGGACCCGGCGCCTCACCTGCGGTAGCCGTAGAGGCCGTGATAGGTGCTGCCGTGCCGCTCCGGCCGCCGCTCCTCGCCCGCGCCGCCGCCCTCCTCGCTGCTCTCCAGCTCCCGCTCATCGCCGTCCGGCAGCGCCGGCAGCATCGCGGCCGAGCCCCGAGCCCCGCCTGTCCCCGCGGAGCCGCCCCGGAGCCGCCGAGGCGCGGTGGGTGTGCGGTGAACCCGCCCCGCTGAGCCCGCCCCGGGCCCGGCGCTGGGAGGAGCGTTCGGGGCCGCTGGAGGAGCCACGGGCCGTGTCCTGACCCCGCCGAGACCCAGCGTTCCACCAGCGCTGGAACGGCTCCGGCTGCCGCGGGTCCTGTCAGCGCAGGGTGCAGGACAATGCGGTACAGACGCCACGGGGCCCGTGTCAGTACAGGCGATCCTTCACTGACCTAACGGCAGGACCCGCTCAAATCGAGTTTCATAGAATCACAGAATCACAGGATGGTTTGGGTTGAAAGAGATCTTAAAGATAATCTCGTTCCAACACCTCGCTATGGGGGATTTGACAGGATTAGCCTTCTTTGTAAGCAGCACATTTGTTAGCTCCTGGCAGTTACAGAATCAGAATCATTCAGGTTGGACGGGACCTCTGGAGATCATCCAGTCCAACCTCCTGCCCAGCCAGGGTCACCTGGAGCAGGTGACACAGGAACTCGTCCAGCTGGGTTTGGAATGTCTCCTGAGGCAGAGACTCCATAGCCTCCCTTGTGTTGCAGACAAGCCTTGTGGGGAGCAGCTCTGACCCCCAACTGCAGCAGGGCCACTGCAAAGCCTTGGATGAGGCTGATGGTTGGACTTGATGATCTTACAAGTGTTTTCCAAGCTCAATGATTCCATGATTCTGTTCTAAGCAGCCAGTGGACCAGCCCCGAGCTGGAGGGCTGTGGAGATAACACAGACACAACCCGCAATGGGTTGTCAGTGTAACAGAGGGACCAGCCTGGCCAGGCACAAGAAGCTGAGGAGGGTGACAACTAAACACGTTTCAGTTGGTTTTATTGTGTTCTCGGAGGGCCGGGCTCCCCCACACCCCATGGCCTCACTGTCAGCAGTCAGTAACACGGACACAGCTGGCACCACAACACTGCACAGCACAGTCTAAGCAACACCGGCTTCTTGCCCCGTCAGATTTCGTAGGGAAAACACAGTTTCTCTGCGCCACTAAATATGAAGACGAGAAACAGTTTAGATTAGGTCTTAGGAGGAAGTTCTTTGCTGTGAGGGTGGTGAGTTGGATGGAGCTCTGAGCAACCTGGTCGAATAGAATGTGTCCCTGCTCACGGCAAGGGGGTGGAACGAGATGCTCTTTAAGGTTGCTCCCAACCCAAACCATCCCTTGACTCTATGACCCATGTCGGTGCCTCAGGCCGCGCACCCACAGCCCCACCGGACAAAATGGCGGCGGCGCCGTGAGGGGACACGGGACAGCCCGGGGGCGGCCGCGCGCGCGTCACGTGGGCACTCCCCCCTCCCCTCCCTCCCGGCGCGGTGCACGCTGGGAGCGCGGAGGCGGTGGCGCCTGAGGGAGCGCGGCCGCCATTTTGTACCTCTTCGCTCGGTCCGGGGCGGTCGCGCGGGCGCTGCGGCTCTGAGGGAGCGCTCGGCTCTCCTGCTCTGTAGCTCGGGGTCGTCACCACAGCCATGGGCCGTAAGAAGAAGAAGCAGCTGAAGCCTTGGTGCTGGTATCCTTATGTGTGGGACGCGGCGGGTTCGGGGATCTGGGTGGGGGAGGGGAGCGGCCTGGCGCGGTCGCCGTTCGGCCCCGGCCTGCCCCGGGACTGGGCTTCCCCCTCTCCCCACCCCTGTTACGGTTTGTCTCGGTGCTCGGTGCTGTTCCATCCCAGTGCTGCTCGGGATGGGCCCTGGTCCGTGCCCTTTTTCTTCTCAGGGCCGCTCCTGCCGAGGCCGCGGCCTCACACTCGCTCCCTGAAGCCGGGCCGGGCCTGGCGGGGTTGCCGGCGTCGTGGAGAAAAAAAGAAAACGGTCTTTATCCCCCGGGGAAAGGATGTTACAAGCGAGAAAATCCTGCTCCTAATATACACAGCTATTCAAGGAGGGGGATGTGATTAAAAGAGAGTTTTTGAAAACTTCTTCTTTTTTTGCCCTTTTTTTTTTTTTGTGGCCAGGAAGGCTTTCAAATTTGTAATTGCTGCATCACCGTCAGGCGGAATTTCTCAGTGTCCTGAAATACCGGTGGATTTTTCTTCGGTCCCTCCTTCAGAATCTTCTGTCTGTTGGGGAATGGTTACAAATTTACCTTTTCTCTCTCTCAAATGTTTCTGCCCCATCTGGGATTGTTTAATAAAGGAATTTATAAGCTCCTCTGAGGTATTTTGCCATTTTATATTGGAAGGCTTCTGTTTTAGATGTTAATGTATTTCACGTTTTGGCGGAAGCAAGAGACACTTTGTGTTAACAATGTTAACATTGTGTTGATAACGAATTGCAAACGTGTATTTGTCTTGCCGAGGAAGATGTGTGGAGTGTTTGCTGAAATCCCAGTGCTGACCTGCAGGAAGGAGATGCAGTTTTGCCTCTTCGTTTATGTAGATATCCAGAAAGTTCCTTGTTTAAAATACTTTTGTTTAAAAGCAGAGAATTCTTTAATGACTGCAGCAAATTATGCAGTGTCAGAAGAATTGATAGCTGGGTAGGAAAGGAATTTTTAACTAAGACCTTTGTTCTCTTTTATGTTTGTTAGTTACTGGTACTTGTTACTGAAGAGACACTTTGAGTCTTTAGCATGGCTTCCGTTTTTCTGATTTCCAGTCTGTTTCTCCTTTAATGCTTTTGCAACTTTATTTTAATCCACACCCTTGAAGAGAGAGAGAGAGAGTCCACTTAAAAAGAAGTAGGACTTGAAAACCATGTGACTAAGGACATGGAATCAAATTATTCTTGTTACACACAACTTCCCAGTTTTATACCTGTCTGATGAGGGAAGTGCTGGATCACATGAGGGTGGTGATTTCAGACATACATGAAATATTTGTTACTCTTTGAATGCTCAGAGATGCTTCCTGTATCTTTTGCTTTAGGAAAAAGCACCCTGGTGCTAATTACCTTGGTTTTGTCTAGGAGGTCACTTCCAGGGTTAAATGTTTCCTTAACAGTCTTCTGTAGGTATTGTAATAGGGATTTTGATGATGAAAAAATCCTTATACAGCATCAAAAAGCAAAGCACTTTAAATGCCATATATGTCATAAGAAACTGTATACAGGACCTGGTTTAGCTATACACTGCATGCAGGTAAGGAGTTTTAGATTTACATGGGCTTTTTCTAAGAGTATCTAAAATTTGAATGAATAGTGACCTTAAAAAGATGGTGTTTGGGGCTTCCAGGGTCTTAAAGACTGATGCAAAAAAGGCAGCAGTGGCCTGTTTCCAGCACAGGAGTCCTGCTGTGTCAGCAGTCAGATGGACACTGTGCAGCAGAGATCTCTGCCCTCAGTTCTGGAGGAGGAATGAAGGAATCGTGTTGTCTTGGTATTCTAAAACAAGTCTGTAAAGTGGTTTTAGAGCTAATAGTAGTTACCAGAGATTAGGAAGCACAATCAAGGATATGCTTGGCCAGAGGGATTATTCCCATTAAGAATGTTCCTTTTTTATCTTGAAAATGGCTGAAGAACACAGAGAATTGAACCTGAATTGTGGTCAGCAGCATTTCTTTGGTTTTCTTTTTCTCTAGGTACACAAGGAAACAATAGATGCTGTTCCAAATGCTATTCCCGGAAGAACGGACATTGAACTGGAAATCTATGGGATGGAGGGCATTCCAGAAAAAGATATGGAGGAACGGAGGAGGTTACTTGAACAAAAAACTCAGGGTAAGGTGTGATGTGGCTGGTTAAGTGTTATTTCCCTGGTCTGGTCCTTACACAGCCGTGGACACAGTGAGTGTCAGCTTTAACACGTTCTCTAACGACAGCTCCAGATTGGAATTTTACTGGTTTTGTTCCAACCAGAACACCCCAGATAAAGTTAATTTCATAGAATGTAATTTGCATTTTGTCTGACCATCCACTGTCCTGTCTGCAGAGAGCCAGAAAAAGAAACAACAGGATGATTCTGATGAGTATGAAGATGATGAATCTGCGGCTTCAACTTCATTTCAACCCCAGCAAGTTCAGCCACAGCAGGGGTACATTCCCCCAATGGCACAGCCGGGTTTGCCTCCTGTGCCAGGTGCTCCAGGGATGCCTCCAGGTGAGAGGGTGTGAAAAGCTGGGTAGAAATTACACAAATTGCTGCTGGTGTGCTGAGTAATAATCTGCCCTTTTAACACTGGGTCTGGGAGGTCACAAAATAGTTGTGTGAGGTGCAGATAAGCAGTTTCTTCATTTTCTTCCCCCATTCTGTGTCCTTCCCCTGCACGTCTCCCTTCATGGTGTAGATTAAGATACCTAAAGCTGGTATGTAGATTGAAGGCATGTGGTAGTGAGACAGCTTAGTGCTTCACAGAGATGTCTGCCAGAGATGTTTGTGGGATTTTGGAAACAGGGCAGAAAGGCTGTTGTGTATATAGAGAGTGCTCACACAGAACAGGCAGTTTATACACAGGCCACAAATATGGTGAGGAAAGAATTTTGATCAGTGGGTGAAAAATGGTCTCTTCTCCTTGCAATAAGGTGTGTTCTTTGGAGATGTAGTGGTTTGAACCAGGTTTTTCCCCCTGAAACTAAGAAAGTGGTAACCCCCTCCATGACAGGAGACCACTAAGAAAATTTAGAGTCTTGCAGGAGCAATGAAGCCAAGTCAGATTTGCAGGTGTTTTATATTGCATTGTTTGTAAGCAACGTTATTTCAAAAGCACTCTTTCAGAGCTTCCTGTGAAGCAGTTATCTAGTCCATGTTTATTAGATGCCATTTGTTAGCAAATGTATGTTGTCAGAGTTGCTGAAAATGTATTTTTCTTTTAAGGTATTCCACCATTAATGGCAGGTGTTCCACCTATGATGCCTGGAATGCCTCCAGTTATGCCTGGAATGCCACCTGGGTGAGTAGCAAGAAAGACTTGATATTACATATAAATACTGTGCATTTCAAACTGTCACAGAAGAAGTAAAGCTAATTAAAAAAATGTGTTTAGGAAATTGTAAACTCTGTGACCTAAATATTAAGACTAACTAGAGAACTGGATGGCTGTAAACCAACATGTAAAATATGGCCAAGCTGTGAGTTTATGTGTAAAGTATGTTGCCTTTCTTTTCACTTCATTATATAGTAGTATATTAATTTAAAGTTTTGCTGTGTTGGTTTAGAGCCTTCTGTGAGCCACTGTTCCCTTGTGCACTGCACATATGTTGTGCATCTGCTTATCAGTCATCAACCTAACAGGAAAAAGATACTGGATAGTTGATATTTTTCTTGTATTTCGGGCAAAAGGTGTTGGTTTTTTATGCTTGTTTGGGGTTGACACCATACCCTGTCACAATGTGTTTTGAAAATTCACAGTTAGATTTTTGATTTTGTCATAAATTTTCACAGATTACATCAACAGAGAAAATACATGCAGTCATTTTGTGGTGGAAACATGTAAGCATCTCATTAATGTAATTCTAGGTACATTCATTATGCCATTTTATGTCATGTTTTTGATAAGCTTGAAATTGTCTTACTGAAAACCTCTGAATATTGCCTGAGAATTTGGGGAAAATGTCTAGTTAGGTTTTGTTATTGTATAATATATGAAGTTTTTATGCTTTATCTAAATATTACAAAACTATGCGTGAAACGTGCTCTACATAATATTAACAAAATAGACCCTTAGGGGTCTCTTCAACCAGAGTAGAGCTCCATGTGCTCAGTCCTTTACACTGCAGAACATACTGCAGGAACTCAGTTTATAAGTTCTAAAGTTCACTGAGGTGGAAGGTCTTTTTGGACATAAATGTTGATTTCACAATCCTTGAATTTAAAAATCGTGTCATAGTCGAATGTGGTGTGGATGCTCATCATGACTTTAGCTTTCCTGAGTGGAAACTAAACAGAATTTAATCAGGTTTTCTGGTGCTTAGTCCTCACTAAACTCCTTGTTAATGTCAGGTGATTGTTACGTCACCCAGTAAAAACCACAACTGATCTGCCAAACCTTCACTGCATTTCTATTTGGGAGCAGAGGTTGCACTATCCTTTTACCCATTTTAATCTAAAGTTTTGCTTACTTAACATGATTATCTTGTGTCTAAAAATGAGGAAAGAGGAATTAGGACACAGAAAGCAACTTTGTTTTTAGTTTGACAATATTTCTAGCACTGTCTCTGCAGTTCCTCGGGAAGTTACCTTTCTGGGGGCAGCAGGCAGGGAGCATCCAGCACTTTTTTGTGTCTAATGTGTGTGTCAGGACTGACTTTGCTTCCTCTGACCATCACCCAAAAAAGGGGTAGTGCTGCTATGTTTGCACCCGTTCCTGCTCCTGCACTGGGCGTTCCCTTTAGCAGTGGCAGAGGAGTTGGGAATAGAACTCAGGCTTTGCAGAATGAATGCTCACCTCCTCATGGTGATTTGTTTTGATCCTGAAACCCCAGTGGTGAAGGTGTCTTGGCTCTGTCATACAAACAAACTGCTTCTTAGTGGGGTTCTGGGGTGTTGCTGCACATCTGTTTATCTTGCTCACTAAAGTAATGAGTGTTCCCTTATTTTGTTTCTCTTATCTGTCTTCGAGCATCTGCAAAAAATTAAGCAAATTTAAGCTACATTTGGTTTGTTCCCTGTAAAGCAATCACACATATTCATCTAGGGAAAAGCCCTTTTTAATATGCAGAAAAATATATTATAATGAGAACTTCTCATATTAAAAAAAAATCCACTTTACCATTAGTATGTGAATTATTTACTGTAATTGAAACTCCAGCAGCTTTCTTGCCCTCTGCTTTTATCAATATTTTGTGGATAGTTGTGCACATTTGGGTTCTCTGCCATTCACTTGTGGTGTCAGAGGAGTAACAGCAGATGTACAGTGATTGAAGGGGGATTTGAACTGACTGTTTTCCTACATTCAGACTTCCTGAGTGTTCTTAGATCATATTCTTGGAACACTTTGCTGCAACTGGTAGCCTGAAATAGATTTCAAGAGGGACACCAGTTCTGGAAATTTCATAGTAGTGGAAGTGAAATCTTAAGAAATTAAAGTTCAAATTTTCCTGAGGTTTTGGGTGTTGGGTTTCTTGGGGTTTTTTTCTTGTGGAGTCAGCTGGTTTTGAATTGCCTCTGTTGGGAGCTTCTTGGAATTATTTATCATGATTTTTTTGTCTAATACAGGTATGTGCCAATTGTCTTAACAGTTTATCATGAGTGTTCATACCAGTGTTCATTTTCTGTTTAATAGGATGATGCCAATGGGTGGAATGATGCCTCCTGGGCCAGGAATACCACCTCTTATGCCTGGTATGCCACCAGGTAGGTCAGGGTTGTCGAACTCGTACTATGGTGAGAGTTATATTTATTTATTTTCACTAAGATATAGGATTTATATAAGTGCCACCACCTTGATGTGGTTTGATTGCCACAGAAGCCACTCTTGTGCAGAGGTGGTTGATTTATGGCTTTTTATTGTAAATAATTATTTGAGTTTTACTCAGTTGTTAAAATGAAAAATAGAATATAGTTTTCTTATTGCATATCCTCTGGCTGTTGTGTTGCCTCATCCCTTTCTTTTAATGTCTGTGGCTGCAGCTGGAAAATAGTAATAATTGAAAATGTGGAATGTAAGGAATAATGCTGGTGATTTACCCAACTAATGAACCTTCTGTTTGAACAAACTTAACTGCAATTTTGGTCTCTTACCATAGCTGGAAGAGATGTCTCTTGAGCTTGTGCAGCTCTTGAGCAGCCTTAAGTTCTCAGGGTGTTCCACCTGAGCAGCTGCTGTGTGGTAATGAGCTGAGATTTGCTGGTTTGCTGGATGGAACCCCTGGGAACTGTTAACTTCCCACCTGACCCTCTCCTAGAGCCCCATGCACACCAAGTGCAGGTTTTGGGATGACAGACTACAAAAAATCACTGTGCTGAAGCCCCCCAGCAGCACTGACGGTGTTTGTCACAGTCCTGGTGCTGTTCATGAGGGCTGAGGCTCTTTGATTTTGTACCAGTCTCATCCACACTCGTGACAGGGTAGTCACTGTGTTGGAAACAGTTACTGCATTAATTGCATTGGTTTAATGAGAGCATAAACTTCATTGTGGAAGCTTTAGTAAAAAAGTGACTTATTTCAGTACTGCTCTGAAGGGTTGGAGGTTACTGTCTGTGTTACTGCTTGGTGATTGCTGACGTTACCCTGTGTCATGTTTTGTTTTACTGTTGCCTTAGAAATACATCTTCCTTGTGGGAGATGGTTCTGAGGAACACTGTGAACAGAATTCTCTAAAGGAATACTCTTTCCCCCTTGAGCCTGATCCGTTGGCAATGCTTTGTGGTTGCAGGAATGCCTCCCCCCGTGGGGCCGCGGCCTGGAATGCCCCCAATGACACAAGCACAGCCTGTCACAGCCCCGGGCATCCTTAACCGGCCTCCAGCTCCTGCTGCAACAGCGCCCACCCCACAGCCTCCAGTCACTAAACCACTCTTCCCAAGTGCGGGGCAGGTAAGGTATCCCAGAGCCTGGAATAGCTGCTGTTACGTCCATCAAATTGCCACAGTGTCAACAGTGGCTATTTATTACTGAGGAGGCCCCAGAAATGACTGGTTTCTTGCTTGGGTTGATTTTGAAGTTTAATTCAGTGTAGTGCTTGAATGAATTGTAAGAGATTGTTGTCTTGCAACAGCTGTGAAACCAAACAATTCTGTAAGCATGTGGGCAAGAGAGGAGTAGGCAAAACACATCTTTGCTTAATGCCTTTAGTTAGTTGTTTATAAAGGTGCTTTGGGTGGGTGAAGGGATGTGTTAGTCAGCCACAGGAGTCTGATTGCATAGAACTCTACCTAAAATTTACAAATTACGAGTCTTGGCATGACTTGATCTCAGCTATTCTCATAATGGGCTCTCTACCAATTGATAGACTGATTTATTCAGTCGTCTTGTTAAACTGCTTAAACATTGCCTGAGATAGGAGGTTCTTTACTTCAGAAAGTTTAGGAGTAAGTTAGGGTAGTAAAAAATTCATTCAAATGTGTTGGGGAGGGAAGTGGGGATTGATCGTGGCTTGTGACCTCTTCCCTTTGAATGCACTTGTGTGTAAGTCCTGAAGTCTTTACTTGCTTGCAAGTATGTTGCAGAAACCTTCATAGTGTATTATTTGCATTTTGGACTTCTGCAGGGAAGAGACTTGTTTACAAAAACCCAGTCCTTTAATAAGAAAGGGCTTAGCATAAGAAATCCTTTCATGTGGATACTTTCCACCCATTTGTTTGGAGACTTTTCACTGTTTCCTTTCTTTTATGCTACAGATGGGGACACCTGTCACAAGCTCAAGTGCAGCTTCCTCCAATTCAGAAAGTCTGTCAGCGTCTTCTAACGCTCTGTTTCCTAGCACAGCACAAGTACGCAGGAAGTCACAGTTCAAAACAAATTGCTTTGCAACTTAACCCTTTGGACCGTTCTGTGAAATCTAAAATTGACTAAACATCTTCAGATCACTCCTGTTACCTTCCTGATTATGTTTAGCTGGTAAAACCGCAGAGTCCTTGATTGGGAGTTGTATCTTACTAGAAATAAGCTTGTCAAAGTGCCCAATTTTTCTTAGTGTGAAAGAATGACATGTTACATCCTGGTTCTAAAGGGTTAAAAAAGCATGAAAGCAGTTAAATGCATTTTAGTGGGCAGTGGTTAGCTTGATGCATGGTGAAGGCTTTTTAGTTTATGTTGTTTAATATGGTACATCACAATTGTAGGGAATTTTTTTTTCATTTGCATTATGTGCAAAATGTTAGATTTTTTTTGTTTTGATTGGGAAGTTCAGATAATTGTAAATACACAGTGACTAGAAACAAAAGCATTCTCTCATAACTAAGACTTGCTTTGGAGATTGCTATGTCTTCTGAGACAGCCTTGTAAAGCAGACATTTGCAGGGTTTTTTAAAGAAAAAAGTAGCAAAGGTGAATTGCTGGAATCTGTAGTGAACCTCATATCTGCTTCCAATGATTCTTCATTCTCAAATGAGATTGAAGTTCTGTAGGTAGATATAGTACTTTGTGACAATGCTGCAGTGTTTTTATGCAGAGAACACTTCAAAGCCCTGACACAATAGAGCTTTCTTAAATATTGGATTAAAGTATTACTTAACTACTAAATTTTAATGAAAACTAACAGTTTGAGCTGTACTCTGAACTAATGGTTGCTAAAGTATTTTTATTAGTGAGGGAACAATGAATTTATACTTAGAACTCTTTACAAAACAGTGGTTCAGGAAGGATTCAGGCATCTACCAAATTCAGTATTTCAGATAAAGGTTTTGATAGTGGGGTTTTGTTTTTTTTTGTTTGTTCCTTTTGTCTAGTTGTGGCTTTTGACCTGCAAATTTTAGACTTTCCAGTGTGTGTGTGTATATGTGTATATCCTGGGTTTTATTTTGTTTTGTTTTCAGTTGCTCTAGTATGCAATAAGGCTGAACTTTACTTTTGTCAAGCTTGTTATAATTATGTATCTCACTGGAAGGTTTCAGAGCTCTAAGAGACATCATTATTTAAGTTTGCTTATGCTTTGAGATACAAGTATTGACCTGTCCCTGTGTTCCACAGGCTGCAGCAGCTGTGCCAGGGCCAGTTGGTACTGATTTCAAACCTTTGAATTCTACACCTGCAACGACAACAGAGCCCCCAAAACCTACATTCCCTGCTTACACACAGTCCACAGCCTCAACCACTAGCACCACCAACAGTACTGCAGCTAAACCAGCCACATCTATAACAAGTAAGCCTGCTACCCTCACCACAACCAGTGCAACCAGTAAGTTGATCCATCCAGATGAGGATATATCACTGGTAAGTTAAAATGTTTTCATTGTCTCACTGAAAAATGCAATTTGTGCTGGTATGGCTGATTAAATGGAATTTCTTCTGCGCTCTGTATTATGTGTATTTTAATAATGGTGAGAGTGCAAACTGTGCAGAATTAATGTAACTGAGATGACTGGCATATGGCAGTGCTCTTGCTGCAGTTCTGTGCCTTAGCTTTGTTGGTGATAGGAAATCACTCAACTCAAAATGTGATTTGCACTTTTCCTGCATGTGACTTAAACTTGAAGTTTAATATGTACAGGTAGTGTAGAACAAGAGACTGAACAGTTTGAAGTGGTTTTGGTGCGGTTACAGCAGTCAGAAAATGGAATTTATGGATAAAACAAATGAACCTTAATTTCAGGTCGAGTATCTTTAGATTTGTGTTCAGTGTTTTTGTCTCAGCTTAAGAGAAAAAGGCTTTGTTGAGCTGGGGAGGGGCAGAATTTGTGTTGTGTGCAAAATGCTCCATTGGCTGATATTAATGCAGTAACTGCAGGAAAGGGGAAAATCCAGGTGCTCCTGTGTAATGTTACTGGTAGTCTCTGAATTTGTAAGGTGGTTAAAAATAGTTTAGTACCTGTAATCTGCTTTGTTGAACCTCTCTTTACTTTGCTTTTGGAGAGTTTTAACACGCTCTGTTGTGGTTGTGTGTTCTGGTTTTAGGAAGAGAGAAGGGCTCAGTTGCCCAAGTACCAGCGCAATCTTCCTCGGCCAGGCCAGGCTGCCCTGGGTAATCCACCAGTTGGACCAATTGGAGGTATGATGCCACCACAGCCAGGAATTCCTCCACAACAGCAAGGAATGAGACCTCCCATGCCACCTCATGGTAATCACAAGTTTCCCAGCTTTCTTTTCCTGAAAAGCTTTGTCTTTGCTATAAACCTTTTTAAAACTTTGAAGTGGCCTATTCTGGCAGGGAGGGGTGAAGCTTTTCACAAAAGGCAACTTCTCGTTACTTAAAAAAAATAAAAAAAATTATTCTTTGCATCTTAAATGTTCTGTTTATAGGTCAGTATGGTGCTCATCACCAGGGCATGCCAGGATATCTTCCTGGGGCCATGCCTCCATACGGTCAGGGACCTCCGATGGTGCCCCCGTACCAAAGTGGACCTCCTCGACCTCCAATGGGAATGAGACCCCCCGTAATGTCGCAAGGTGGCCGCTACTGATGCTCCTACTCACGCTCTAATAGGTTTGGAGATTAAACCTTTTCTCATCTTGTGCTGTTAATATAGCAGAGCTTCCGTCAATTAAGGCTTCATTGTGACTTTAAAAATATAAGTACCTTCCCACATGCAAGGAGCTATTGGACATTCTTATTTTACATGGGAAAAATTATTTGGAATAATAACAGGAACTTTTCCTGATGTTGCAATTTATACTGTATGGCTTCTTTTTCATGTTTCATCTAGGTTTTTAGAAGTGAAGTATAGTAAATATGGTTCGTTAAATTGTGAAGGCGCTGGAATTACATGAACATACCACCTTAAAGGCAAGTTCTGTGATGTTACGTTGCTCTTTGTGAAATGATGCCTTCACAGCACTTCAAGTGCTGTTGGACTTCATGTCCCCAACATAGTTTGGTGAGGGCTGTAACTGCTCCCAACTACTTGTACATTAAAGTCTGAACTTGTAACAATATTTAATGTATTTAGAGTTCCTCCTGTTTCAGGGTTTAAGTAAACTGACCCGCTGAGGTCATGTGACTTTTCTGTACTGTTATAAACTTCATTGTAATAAAAGAGGAGAAAAATTTATATGCCTTTTTATTCGTGACCAGCTGTGGACAACTGCCTGAAAGGTTTGTACAGATGCATGCTGTGGTAGCCATTGGTGTAATGAACACAGTTATAGGTGCTTTTATTTTGATAAAATCTGAATTCCTTGTTCTAAAAAGTCACTCCTCTAGCTGTACATCTGAGTAGACAAAGACCTGTACACTTATTAACAGACTCCTCAAAACTGAGGCTGCAGGAGGCACATCCTGACTCTGGTTGTAACTTCTCTTAATGCATATATCTCTTTATTTGTGCTTTCTTGTCCTCAATAAATTTTAACTGATTTCTAGTCCTGGCACTTACGTGTAGGATGTGGAAGTGCTCTAAGACACATCCTCGTGCCAGGCATGTCCTGTTAGTTCACTCTTCAGCTGACCCCTCTCAATGTGCAAGTGCTTAGGAATTGCAGGAGTCTTTTAGGTTTATCTTTCTAGAAGCTCAGGTGCATGTCACATGGGTGAGTGACTCCCAGTTGATGTATTGAAGTTGACCTGCAAAAGAGAAATAGTAGCTTGACCTTGTTAGTGTGTGAAAGAGGCAGAGCAGGCAAGAGTAATGTGTTATACGCTGTATTTTTAAGTGTTCAGAATTTCACGAACTATCTGTAACCATCTGTTGTGTGATGAGATGTTGGCTGAGTTTCTTTCTTGAGCCATTCAGTGAAAGTGTCTGGAGTAAGAGACCTTTTTATCAGAGAGGCTTTTCCCTATGAATTAGTCATTTATCTGTTTATAAGAGCAAAGTCATAAATTCCTGTCAAGATTGTAGTTCTCTGAGTATCTGACATCACTGTGTTGCTGTGCTATATTTCTGATGAAAGTGAGAATGTAGAGAGAGACTTTTTGGAGGGAAGGGCAGTGAGAGCTTCTCTGGCCTCTTTATCACAGGAGGAAACAAAATGAGTGGTGAATTTTTTCATTTGCAGGTCAACTTTAAATACATGTTCCAGCCTCAAGCCTTATCTGTGCAATTTAATTGATGGGGATAGCTCTTCTTTTAGGGTAGGTTAGAAAGACTGTCAGCATTTTTGTGTCACTGTTCCACAGCTGTTTTTGTAGATGGAGTTTTTTAAAATTATATTACTGAGCATTATGGCTCTGTTTTTTGAAAGTGTTGGGGTTTTTTAGCTGCACGTAAGTACTTCCTGTGGCTTTGTACTGTCTCTTAAAAGTGCAAAAATACAGTACAGCTGAAGCACTACATGGTCTCAGCTTCTGACCTGGGGTCACAGAATGTCTCCTAAAAGCACAAGAGCATCCAGTGCAGTCTAATTACAGCTGAATGGCCTTATTTTAACCATTAAGAATTGCCAGGCACTTTCTCTGAAGTGTTTAGCAGTTGTAAGACCATAACTCCAAGCCTCTGTTGAGAAGCAGTCCTCTCTGATCACTGCTATCTGCTGATCACCTGTCAGATGTGCAGTATTTGGCTTACAAATGTGCTGAGTGGGCCTTGGTGTCAGATCTTTTGTTAGCTCTTCATCTTGCTTTACACATAAGTCTAACAGATAAAACTGTTTTGCTGAGGCAATGCTTTTATACTCTGGTTTTCTTCTGTTTACCTAATAAGGATAATTACACAACAATGGAGAGATTATTACAATATCTTATATTTATCCTTTTTGTAATACTACGCATAAAATTCGTACTTTATAAAGTGATCTTAACTACTGCTTGTAAAACTGTAGAACTTCTTGCTTTTTCTGGAGATCATATTGCTGCTGTAAGGATGCTTTGCCCTCCTGCCCCAGTCAAGTAAATCCCTTCTTCGTTCGGTGTCTTTCCATAACTTTCTGTATGTTGTTTTCAGACCCCTCCTTCTCCTGGGATCAAACCTTACTGCATGTACTGTTAACTCAGCATATTCTGCAAGTTGTATTAATTAAGAATTTCCCTCTTTTAAAACAGTGAATGTCTCATTGTTCTTGTAATGGTACCATTTGGTAGCTAATACTGCATAGACTTAAAGCTTGGATGCATTTTGAGATTGAGCTTTCTTTAGTTGTAATGTTGTGATAATCCCTCAAGTAAGTACTGCCACATATTTTTCATTGGTACTCACATAGAAGCAGGTGAACAATTTTTTCCATGATTTTCACATGGATACTCCCTTTCCTGCTCCTGTCATTCCTGTGCTATAAGAGCTGTGATGTGGCTGCCTTTAGATACTCTTGTCTCTCGTGTGACTCCTCTGTAAACAGGCCGGGATTTCGGTGCCTGTGTTGTCTGTTGGTCCCTGCCTTCATTTCTTTGGATACTGCTTCTTAATGTTCAGAGAGTTGGATTTATGGTGCATTTACCCAAAAAGAGATCAGAAAACTACTTGGAATGTTAATAGTGGCTTGTGTAAAGTCTAAGGCTTGGTTTACAGTACCGAGTGTAACCAACAGCACTGTGCCAGCAAAATCCCACGTGTAACACAGCCATGGGAACAGGCTTCTGCTGGAGTTCATCTCTCCCTGGAAAGAGATGGCAGAAGCCTTTATGATCACAGAAAAGCATCTCTTGTGCTGCTGCAGGACTCTGCTACTGTAATTACATAGGCAGAAGCTTTGTTTTTCAGTTGTTGCCTAAATATGCCACGGCAGATCTTACAGTAAAGTTAACACTTGCAAGGGCATTTTGACCAGTCTTGGAACTGCAGTGTAATGCAAATGTTGAATACAAAAAAATAACACTACAAGAACATCTCAGACAGAGGTGGGAAAATGTTTAGCAAAATCATGCCAAAATTTATGGCATTTAGGACTTGTTTGAAAAGTTCTAAATTATTTTATGCATGGTCTCATAATATTGTTATGAGCAGCTGACCTTTAGGGCAAAAGGGATGAGACTGGCATGAAAGAACCTTGAAAAGCCTGGGCTAGTTTTTCAGAAGTCTTGATGTGACTCTTTCATACTGCCTTTAGAATGGCTTCCTGCCTTTGGCAAACATATAAAATACTGGGCATTTAGCTGGCTTATGTGGACTAAAAATTTCTTCTGAAACTTCTGGATTTTTTTTTTCCACAGATGAGATTTTAGGTGCTGATAATAAATTTGAGGCTGGGCTGAATATCTAATAACAGTGGATAACAATTCCTCGCTCTGTGCATGCAAAGGAGAATATAAACAAGCTTCTAGAAACACATTCAGCTGCATCTGCCTTCTGTGGTTTCTGCCATTGGTTTAATGTGTGGAGCTCTTGAACAGCACTTACACAGAACTGTGTAACTTATTAAAACTTGGATAAAATTGAAGGGGATCTATAACTCACAGTTATTTTATAGGAATGAAAGAATTCTCCATACAAGATAAAAAAATATAATACCAAGATTACATTAGTTGTAGGAACAGCAAGAAGGGCATTATGACCTTCAGTTAAATTGAGACTGATACACCAGTCCCTGAGCTGGGGCTGCAATTTAAAATGGGAACTGATGGCACTTAATAGTAAATGTTTAATAATTGTACTGGTCTAGTTTCTACATAAACACAAAGACAAGGGTGAACATTTCCAGTGGCTGATGGAATCTTTACTTTTCATGAATTAGTACAGTCAGTACTATCAGTTATGGGAAAAATGCCCCAAGAGAACTGACTGACGTTCCATTGATCAAGATACAAAGCAAAACAAACTGTCCAATTCAGAAATAGCTACCAAGTTCAAAAAATACTGTTTGGTCCTAACCAAAGAGGTGCTATTGCAGTAATTTTCTTTTGTTTGCTTGATCACTGGAATTTTGTTAACTTTTGAATGCATGTCTTTCACTTAATTGGGTCATGTTTTTTCTAAAATTTAAATTTTTCTTCTTCCTATAGCCCTGCCATAGGACAGGCTGAGGCAGAGTCTCAGTGTTGCCCTGTTCAGTCTGAGGCAAGTGGGATTTATTTTATTCATTCTGGGGGCTTTCACAGCTTTATGGCTGTTGGATATTTATGTCCCCAAACTTGCAGCAAGTTTGGTGAAGGCCCCTAAATTTATTTTAATTTAGGTTTTTTATTCTCTTTTGGTAGATGGGCTCTATATTAATATTTATCTTTTTATTATCGTTGTGGTTTTAAGAGTCTTAGGGGGAGGGAGGCTGTTTGAAGATGTTTGGGTACCTTTTCTCTTGGAATGCATTTCCTTCGAGGCTGCTCAGGGGGTCCTTCAGCCACACTGCCCCTTCCCACCTTTCCCTGCATTGCATTTGTGCTGTATTTGTTTGGGGGTTTGGTAGTGTTGACTTTGTGTAGTCTCTGAATTAGTGGCATGTAAATACCAAGTACTAATGTTTCCTCTTCTGGGGAGATGTAACTGTTGAAGTGCTTAAAATAGGTTTTAACCAGCAGGTGACATTTATAGGCACCAAACTGTGTAGCCCAAATTCTAGAACAGAGTTTCTTTGCAGAAGGTTGAGATGTTAATCCTGCTGCATACGTGAGCTGCACCTCAGCAAATATTAATGTAGAGCCCTGGGAGGAACCTGAGCTTTGATCCAGGTTGGTAACACAGAATAGAAGAGTGAGAAATGGAGGCTGCAGATTTTTCAGTTCATGAGTTTCTGGAAGAACCTTTTCCTCAACCTCTCCAATACACCAAACTCAACAGTACTTTGACTGTTGCAACAATAGTGAAAGTCACAGCAGTTTTTTTGAAACCTTGTGAAATTCTGTTGCATATTCAAAATTTGCTTAGTTATGTTTCTTTGAAGTTCCTTCTCTCACACAGTGACTAGCAAAAAAATTGTACCCTTTGTGAAGGAAAAGCTGCTCACTCTGGTGCAGATAACACTGGCCTTGAATGCTTGAGGTTGCTTAAAGACAACTTCAGCTTCAGAAGAGCAGGTTTTGTCCAAGGAGGTCTTGCAGCCTATCAGCAATGAAATGGAAAATAAATGTAGGAGTCTGGTTTTACAATTTTTTTAAGGTTTTCAAAATTTATGCTAGTTTTTTATGAGCATACACTCTGTCTCATTTCTTCAAGATTTTGCTAAATAATGGCCCCCAGTGGGATTTTCAGTAATTTGAATTCAAGGATAGAGTTGTAATTCTTAACTTAGAAGAGTGATTGCACATTCCTGTTGTACCCTTTGCTTGTACTCTGCCCTTTGCATTTTTCCTGGAGAAGGCCCCTCCAAGTCACCCAGTCTGGCTGGAAAATTGTCCTCTGACTGTTCCAAAATGGTTACTGAGCATGGCCTTGCTTTTCTAATTCTCATTGTGGTGCTCTCCCAATAACAGTGAAGATGAGAACAACTCTTCAACTAGGGTTTGTTTCACTTTCTTAGTTTACAGGAGCATTTGGCTTATTCTTATTTCCCTACAATGTCCAAGGAAACTGTTTAACCCAAAATAATAGTGTGGGTTGTACTTCTTACTTTAAGTATCTGAATCTCGTGGAGACTCAAAATGAAAAATAGGTAAATTTCAAATGCTTGATCCTGAACTTTATTCCCAGTTTCCATTTAAGATGATGCAGCACTAGGTGAACTTTATCCAGCTCCTCATGTTCAGCCTGTCATCAAGCCCACAAAGCTAAAATTCAGATACATGTGCTGTCTTGTGTCCAGTGAAGTACCCACTTAGATCCTCACTGGGGTTATGCCTTATGAATTGATACCCTGGTGAGAGCTGAAAGTTTCCCAGTTCAGGGAGATTGTTTTTATCTGCTTTTGTTGAAGATATTTTTTTTTCCATGAACATGTCAAATTAGTTCTCCAAAATGCAGTTCCTGTTTTCACTGTGTCATTGTTTAACCTCTGTATACTAATCCTTCAGAGCAAATGAACCATTTCTTTGTGTTTTGGCATGTTTTGTGAGCAAAATATAACATTTTTTCAGCACCACATTGCTGTGGGATTTTTTTCCTTAAAGGTGCTTTTAAGCAATTCCAGGAAGTTTAATTTCACACTACCTGCTTTTGAATGATGCATTTGACATTAAGACAGTTCTGTGGGGCGTCACTGTATGAATTAAAGGTTTTCTGACTGGATTTTCCTGCTCCACTGCAAACACTGCTTGTGGTTTCTGATGGGTAGTTCACCCCCCTTCACTTCCCCCGGGCATTCCTGTCCTTTCTGTAAGTCACTCAAGGACTGGATGGGACAGGTCCTGCTTCTTCCCTCTTTGGGAGCTGGTAGCACTGGCAGATGGCATTGGAATTATTCTGATGTTGCCACAGACTGATGTTTGTCCTTAAATTGGCAGCTATAATGATTTTCCTTTGCTTTGTGTTTTGTCCTTAAGTGACATGTGCAAGTGCTGCTGTCCTTGTAGTCCCCAGGATGGCATAAAGTGCTTTTTGCTGGGAGTATCTCCTCAGCTATTAGACCAGCTGGCCTCTCATCTCTTTGAAACGACTTGTAAAAGTCTCATCTGGTGTAAATGGTTCATGTCTTGCTCTTTTTGTGATGTTTCCTTAGTGATATTTTCCTCCCTGCCTCCTCCTGTGGGTCTAAGGGGGATAGTTAAAATAATTTGTAGTCTTTATTTTGAGGGATGAAGTGTGTTCCTCCTTGCATTCCAGTATTGCAGCAGCTTGTGTATCACGAAGTTGTACATCTCACTGTTTGTGAATTTTCTAATTATGGCAATATTTTAGTGACTTTTATAGATATTAACAGAGGTAGGTCTCGGAGTTCAGGGGTTTTTTAAGCTTAAGTAGAAGTACGTGACTTTTACTCAAGGGGGAGGAGTCACTGATACTCTGCTAAATTGGGTAAATTTGCACCCACTGTTTTAAACAAGAGAAGTGAATGGGAGATGTGGTAAATAAAGTACACACCACACATGAGGGACTCCAAAAAAAAATCTGTGCTTGCCATCAAAATACTCAGAGCAGTGAAACAGTGCCTGGGTTCTGTAGGAATGCAGTGCTGGTGACTCCCACATTGTCTGCAGGAGCTGGGCTGGGGAGGTTGTTCAGAGTAAGGGAAGTTTTGGGGCAACTGTTGAAGGGATCCAGATGAATTCAGGTGATTCTCCAGTGTAATGTGATAACATTCTTTTGGAGGTCCTGAGGAACACGGGCTGTTTCCTTTCACACTGTGAGCAGCAGCTCTGGGCAGCCGTGGTTGGCAGAGCCCAGATTCCTGGGAAGGCTGGGCTGGAGGAAATGCAGCTTTACTTTAGTCTTGTGCCCTGAGGGAGCTGGGCACTGGAGCCTCAGCCATGTCCTGTCCTGACTGCAGGATCCAGGGGGTTATCCTTGGGATTTGTTCTGGGCATCCTGAGGAGGCAGTTCTGACTGACCCTGGTGTGAATAGCTGGAGGGTTGGTATTTATATACCTGGTCCCTGCTGTGAGTAGTGAGACACTGGCACCTTCTGAACAAGCTTTCAGGAACCTCTGACATTCTTAGGGGCTTGCTTGGAATGGGGACAGTCAGCAACACTGCTGTTTTAGTGGCAGGGAATTTAACTTCTTCAGAAATACAGTCTTGAACTTAAGGTTTTTTAAGAAAACAGAATTTTAATGCCAATATCATTTTAACTGAAAGCAAAAAAGCACAAACTTTGAGAGCTTGAAAGCTTCCTTAAAAATTCTCTTGTTGGCAGCTAAACAAGGTCTAACTGCCTCAGAAGAGATTCAAGCTTCTGATATCTCAATTTTTTTCCTTAAATTTTGTCTAAATCTTTACCATGTTCCCAGGTGCTATTCAGAAGGGGGTGGGGGTGCTGTGTAGAATTTCAGCTGCTGCTGCCCTGAGTAACCAATATGAGTAGCTGTATTTTGGTGACAGTAATTTTGAATTACCAGAAATTAGTGCAATGCAACCAGGGGAAGCTATTTCACTGTCTCCCAACTTAAAAAAATTCCATAAAGCTTTGAGTTCAGGGTATCATGCAGAGCTTTTTTCCTTTCTCTTTTTTCATTGAGTTACTTGCACTGAATTCTTTAGTTTCTTTCTCGTAAATCTAAGTGGAAGAAAATACATTTTGCTCAGAATAAGAAAACACACTTTATGAGACTTAAATGAAGGAACCTGGCACTGTAAGTATTGTAATTTCCTTTATGTTTGTGGTAGGCAATAGGATGACCTTGTTAAATATATGGGTTATGTATGAAAAAATATCAGAAGAATAAGGGCAAATTGAAAATAATTTTATAGTTGCCTTTACTTCATATGCTTTTCTTAAGCAACAAATTGCAATAATTGAAGTTTGGCAGCTTTTTTTTTTTTTTAAATAAAAAACTAAATTATGGGTTAAACACCTTGGTTTAATACAATTTGTGTTTCTGTTAACTAGCAGCAGAATTTCAGCATTTGCTACTTACTGGTAGAGAAGAAAAATTCCACAGCACTGCCAGTACAGGTTAGTTTAATCTGTAAGTACCTGATGTTCCTATTTGAATTAATTTGTTCAAATGATACCACTTAAATACATGAGGGGAATTTTGGTCTCTGAACTGTGATTGTTATCTACTACTGATTTCAGTAGTGAGTGAACATCTAGATTTTTTTTTTGGAAGATCTGTAATGGATTTAACTGTGCTTGTGGGCAGGTAATAAATACCTGCAAGCACCTTTAAGGAAAATTTAATACAGAACCTTAACAAATACCCTTTGTTACTAGAAAGTGTGAAGATCTAAAGTTGAAATCACTTCAGTAACATGCCTTTATTGATGAGGCTGTTTTTTACCAGCAAACCAACAGGATCCTGTGTTTGTTGTGTTGGGGATTAAGCATTTCTGTTTGTAAACTCCATAGCAGTAATGTAATCCTTGGATTTTCTTTAGCTATTACTAATTACCATTTCCTACCAACAGATTTTTACTTTGCTAGGCCTGTGAGCCAGGAGCTTGTTCTTCTCTGCTTTTTTTAATCATTATTTTTGTTAGTCCATTGCAGCACTTCAGAGGCTACCTACAAATGTGGTTTTGTCCAGCTATTTTATCTTACTCCAGAGTTACTACTGTGCCTCTATTTTACTTCTGCCCTATCCCATATTCTCAGATATTCTGGCATTTTATTTTTATTTTATAGAATATTTTAGACCTTAAAAGAAAACAGGAGAGGTTCTTTGTGACGGGATAGATGATGCACCTTTCTCCAGAATGGCTGCATACATCTATTTTAATTTAGACTTTATGTATCTTATTTCTACATATCAGCACAGGAGATAAAACCTTTTTCTGTGCTGTAGCACCAAGCATAGATCCAGAGCTGGATGGGCTGTGGAACTGTGCTTTAATTCACTTTTTAAGGCCATGTTATCACACTCTGAGGGACTTTAGACATCGTGGGTGGATAATTCCATAGACAGTAGGTGCTGGGAGGGGCAGAGTAAAGTGGGAGCTGAACAGACACTTCAGTTGTGTGGCTCCTCTGGAGAGGCTGGAGTGGGTTTATGAGTGTCTTACCACTTGCAGTGGTACTGTTTATTTTAGAATTCTGAAATCTTACACAATGCTGCAGAATTCAGACCAACACACGCACTTTCAAGGGGATTGTGTCTTCCCAGGCTCCCAGGAGTTACACTTGCAGCCCATCTCTGGCATCTTTACACCAGTTCTCAGTACTTCACACTAAACTGCTTTGTCTGCAAAACTAATGTTGCACAGATGCTTCTCCCTAGCAGGAAAAAAAAGAGAAGTCCTATATAGTGAAATTTATAACTTAGCTTTACCTCTATTTGCTTCAACTTGGTGGCAGGTGTGCTGAGTGGTAGGGATCCCTTGCTGTGAGGCTGTTCTGGTAACAGGATGTATCCACGTTCTCCTGGTAACAGGATGTATCCACGTTTCTTGTAACCTCTGTGGGTGGCCCTAGTTCATACTGCCACGCTCAGTACTGAGCTGGGGTGAGGAACTGATGGCTCTTGGCTGCTCAGGTACCTCATGGAGTCCTGGTTTTCACAGTGGTTGGGTGCCACCTGCACTGCTTGTACCCCAGCCTGGCAGTCCATGGGGATAACTAACGGGTACAGTGTGTTCCAGACTGTCTTAACCAAAATCAAGTGCATCTGCCCAGGGTAGGTCCTGCCAGGCCTCTGGTGGAACATCATCTCTGGGATGTCCAGTCTCGGGTGGTTCAGCACTCTCCCCCCCCAGTTCTGGTACAGTATATATGGAACAGGTTGGCATTTCCCACTATTTCCTTAGACTTCTTGCTGACTCCCAATTGCTCCTTCAGGGTTTCTGGACACTGTGCAGTGAACCCAAACGGAGCAAACTCCAAGCTGGTTTTAGTACCTTCATAGAGCACGTGAGTGAGTTGTGTCCCCTCTCAGTAGCAGTACAGCCACAGAAATGAGTGTGTTGTGAAGGTTTTTTCTGTCACTTGATACTGCTTTTGTGTAAGTGGTGTGAAAGGGCTGGGATTACTGATCTTTTTCAAAAGACAGGTGGTGGCAAAATACTGATGTTGAATTTAATTGGACAAAGTGAGAGACTGGTAAGTATGTGCATCACTTTAATGCATGCAAATAATAACATAACTAGCTTGATTTTATAGCATTCAGTTTACAAAGAAGATTCAAAGAAAACATGGAGCAAACATTTGCATCCACTGGGAACCTTCATATGAACTGTGTGCTTCAGCAATGGATCATTGCACATATCTGTAATGTGTAACCACTTTGTAACAGTCTCTGATTAAAAGAAGTTAACCACTGTTTCTGTGTGGTATTTTTTCTCTTGTGAACCTATGTAAGTTATTATTGCAAAAAATGTTATCGTGTGAATAACCTGGCACCAGCTTTTTAAATGTCTGTCAGCTGCAAAGACTCGCTTATGTGAGTGTTATCTTAAAACAAAATGGAGATAAGCAAGAGAATCCTGACTTCTTAACTGTAACTTCCTTTTGCTGTTGATTTGCTGTCTTGCTGAGCAGACTTTACAAGGAATTTGACTACTGAAGTTGGAAGAGTTGGGAGAATGTGGAGGAAAAGTTTGCAACAGTGTTTTTTTCATAACAGCTGGTGGAGCAGGTGTGCTGTGAGGTGCTCTGTTCTAAACCCTTTCCTAGCAAAACCCTGGAGAGATGAGGTAGCTTGGAATGTGTGTCCTTGTACCTTGTGTAGGGGATGAGAATGGATTGCTGTGCTGGGCTGGTTTGGGCTCGTTTAGCTACCACTTTACTCACAGATTAATTTCCAAGAGAGTATTAAAAGGAAGATCAATCCATATTTTAATGCTGCCTGGAAAAATTGATGGCATTTTGAACAGGGGATGTGTGACGGGGAGATGATTAGCACTGAGTAGAGGAACCTTCAGGGAAGATGCTGCTCTGCACAAGCTCTTTTTGTCCTCTGGCCCTTTTGGCTCCAGGGAAATCTGAGAGGGCATTTGGAAGATGGGAACTGCTTTGTCCTAGAAGCTGGCTGGAGCAAGGGGGGTGGTGTGTGGCTGGTGAAAGCCCTCCCAGAGTGAATGTGACTGGGAAGGAGGGGTCTGTGCCTGCTGCCCTGGGAGCCTCTGCAGCTCGTGTGTGCAACGTGGGACCCCAAGAGTTCATCTGTGAGTTCAGACTTTACATCTTGTTTTTTCTGCGGGCTGTGGGGGGTGAGGTAAAGAGTTTGCATCCAAGCTTTCAGTTTCTTCAAGGTAGAAATGGGTATATTTGAAAAGACTTCTGTAAGTCTTTCCTTCCTCAAAGAAGAGACTCAAGCATCTCAGTGGTGGGGCTACAGAGCAAAGCTTTGCTACCTGCAGAGTAGAGTTGGGTGTGTGCAGGCAGGAAACAAAGTACAAGACAGACCCTCTGGGCCAAGCTGGTGTTAATTTTTCATCCTAGTAACAGTTTCTTTTTGTAAACAAAACCTGTGCCTCTGCTACAGCATTTGAGCAGGTTGTGTATCTGTTAAGCAGCTTTTCAGTAAGTTTGCATGTCCTGTTTCTGCTCTGGGTTGAAGCCATCCTTATGCCCCATTCTAGACTAGAAAAGCTGCCTTGGCCTAACTAAATTTTCAAACATACCCCTGTCTCCTGCATCAGGGCTGGGGGGCAGAGGGGACTTTCTCTGGCCCTCCAGCTCTCTTGCTCCTGCCAATTGTTTCTGCTCCCTGAGGCCAGAAGGTAAAGGCTTGGACTAGATAATAATCTTTGGTTTCATCCTGTTTCTTCTGAATTCACAGTGGCTTGCAATTCCTTTTACAGTTTTTGACTGAGCCCAGATCTTGTCTGAAGTTGGAAAAGCAAATCATACCTTGCTACTGTTAGAACCACATCTTCAGGTAGGGTAATAAAGCTCATGTAGATATGATAATTTTTCAGAAAAGATGTTTATTAGATAAAAAAAGTTATATGACAGATTTTCTGGCAATTTTAGTCACAATATCTTCTGTCAAACAATACAAAACTCCAACCATATCAGGCAGCTTTATTATTAGAAACTAAATGTGACATGATCATTGTAAACAGTGCTAAAAAACAAACTCTTGCATTTCTCAAAGAATGGGTATAAATTTAAGACTTGTACTCTATATACATTTCTTGGATGATAATGCAAAAACATTTCACCAAGTGCAGGAATTGTTTGGACTATGGACTCATAACAGTGCTTACAAATAATCTTTTATGTTATCCATGTCTTAACTGCTCGTGTCTCTGCACCCCACCCCAGGTACAGATATATCTAATAAGGTAATATTTACCCAGAGAAGCAGTGGAGTTAGATAAAATTTGAGGCCTGTTTTTTATCAGATCTGATGTTTGCAAAGTTGGCTTTAAAACTGCTTCTCTGCTGGGTGTTGGCTTTGCAGTTGATGGGTGGCTCATTTCATCCACGGCACGTGTCAGTGAACGGAGTGTTACAGCCAGAGCACCGGGCATGGTGTGAGTTCACTTCTCTGCTGCTGATTCAGGAAGAAAAACATTACACTGGACAAATTCTGTTACTGATCAAGACCACCCAGAAATTAACTTAAAATCCTAATATATGAGCTGAGAAGAAAGGGATCCCACTAGACCTGTTTTGTTCCAGAGCTCAGTTCTCCAGATATTGGGAGGGAAAGAGAAATAGTGAGTCTTTGGCAGCAATTATTGCTGTCTTAAGGTTGAAATCTTGCTTTCTGTGGCTCCAGAACTATCAAAGGCTTGTCTCAAGGTACACTTTCCTAGTAGGTTTCAAATAGTTAACTGTGGTTTTCTTGCTCCCTGGTGCTCAGCCAGGGCAGTCCTGTTTTTGTTTCAGATGTGTCAGCAGACACTTGCAGTGCTGTATGTTCTCAGAGCACAGTTGTTACAGTCCTGCACCCCTTAGGTTCTGCTGCAGGCTGCATCGTTTTCAACCTCAATATTGAAAGCAACAAGCCCGTTAAATGAAAAGCCTAAATAAAAGGTCACATTTTCATTTCCAAGGGGCACTGATTCACGATGGAGTGCCAAGATGGGGAGCTTCTTTTTGTGACCATATATAAACAAATTTCTGTCCTCGGTCCAGCCAGAAACTCTTTTGAGACTGTCACGAATCTTGGGAATATTCCACACAGTTCCATGTAGCCACTTCATTCTCCTCTCATCTAAGGGCCCCGTAATTAATTTATCAATTTTAGTTTTCTGCACAATCTTACTTAAGCCATAACCTTTTCCCAGAAAAAAATGGGTGTAAATTCTTCTCTTCCTGGTAGGAACATCTTTCATCTTGATGTCATAGAAACGTTTCAGGGTTTGAAGGGCTGAAATTAGAATTTCATCTTTATCTGGATTACGATCTTTATCCAATGCCTCATCTGGCCAGTATAGCAAGGTGAGCAAAAAATAGGCACTTGCTGGAAATGGTCTTTTTGCTTTGAAGAATCTTGTACTGAGCTCACGAAGAGTTTGCAGTGGAAGAAGTTTGGCTGATCCTGGTGCTAAGCAGGCTAAGGTGATGTGGCACAAAATATAATTGATCAGGTCATTGTCCTCCAGCCTGTCCCTCAGTGGGTTGTCTGGATAGAAACT